TGAGACTATGGGATAAAACCCGATGAAAGAAAGTCGATTCTCTCGACATTAACCTTAACCTTGTGAAACCCCAGAACCCAACCGGAAATCTGAACCGTGATTCTAGTCATCAGTGTTAAACGTAGAGCCTTGAGCGCGCATGTCTATCGGCACGGCAGACGTTGATAATGACGATGCTGTTAGGGTGGACGATTCACATACCGCTGTATGACCGAACAGGTTTCGGGACAAAATAGAGTTAATAAAGTAGGTGAAGGATCTAATTCACGTCAGTAGTGCACTGGGCATGTACTGAAAAGACATATTTTTAAACAGACAAATGAAGGGTATGTGATCAACATTATACCGGCTTCGTTTAATTCTACGGAATTTTTTGGATACCTATTTTAAGCTGGGTCGACCAAGAAGCCAAGGATGGTTTTGACTAAAACAATTCTGACTCAACGCGGATTCGAACTTATGAACTTCAGACTGGAAGCGGAGCGTCTAACCGCTAATCCACCCCGGGAAACAACAAAGTACTATCACGGAGCGCCCTGGTATAGGGGCTAGACGGTGGTAGGTTAGTGGGTTCGAATCTAAATGGAGCCAGACTTTCTAAAAAAAAAAGACCTTAACTGCCAAGATGACCTAGTTTTGAGGTGGGTACCAAGTAGGGTCCTTATAACTATGGGTGGCTGGTTTGAGTTCACACCACCATCCACCCAGTGTTGATCGGTCTAAACATAATCGGCGACCGAGTCACCCACTGGATCGCCAGAAGACGACTTCGTCGCCGGTCGAGACAGTATTCGGGTCTGTCTCCTCTGATCGCATCAACACTGCAGGATTCGTTTTCATGGCTCTTGGTGGCGCGCAGTGCTAAACCATTTTATACGGCGCACATAACCTTGTCACAATTATAACCTAAAGCCCCCCTTTGTGGACGATTTTTTGGCAAAGTTTTCGGGAAAAAAGGCCTAGCCCTGCTTTTTCTTCTTCGTCCCCTTCTCTAGTCCCATATTGCCTTTTGGTGTCAGACCATCGAGTGTGAGACTTGGTATATGCTATACAGGAGCCGGTGTTCACAACCTTGGATCCCCCATGTGGGTTCCAGGGCCCCATTGTGGGGAAAACAAGAATAGACCCACTGCCTCCCCAAAAGATGTCGTAAGAGTCGACTAATTGGGGAGCTTCCTTTGAAGTCGGAGTGCATCTGCCGGAGAGGCAAGGAACCAACAGTCTGTATTCAAGAGAATGAGATCTGTAAAACTGATGCACACGCAACACTCAGGTTCTGGAGCAGGACTGCAGTTTAGTAGTGGACGAGCAACCAGAACTTTCCGCCAGAGTGTACAGCTGGTGAACGCGAAGAAAAAGAAGAAGAAGAAGACAACCTTGGATATTCCGTCTATCAAATGATTTGATTTGATTTGATTCAAGAACCGACATCGCAGCACTCGGGGCATTCACATAAGCGCTCCGTCCCCATCTTCAGCAGCCAGCAAAGAGTTCCCATACTAAAATAGTGATCAGTCTATCAATCGTTTGTGTGTTCAACCTCTGGCTTTGCATTCTTTTTGTTTTAGTGACAGGGTTCTGTGTGGTACAATATCTTATAGTAGTCTTTTGACATATATCCGAACCACATGATCTGTTGTTTCTTGATGTAGTTTAACGCTGGTACCATCCCAACTTCTTTCTCGATATCGTCCTTTCGAATCCTGTCTTATGACTCTATGCCCAACACGAGCCTCCTTTGTTTTATGAAAGTCAAGTAAACAATGGTGGAAGCATAACGTTGCTGTCATTAGTATCGATTTATAGTGTCCGAGCTCCACCCAAACTCATTCATTAATGCATGAACTTGTCAAACGGCTGAAGTACTCTTCCGTAGAGGACCCTATTGTAAAGCCATTCTTGTAGCTTTCTGCCAGTGGTACAAGAGTCGCACATGGGAAGAGATTTGGACCTCAGACAATAGTTTGTGGATGTAATATTCACGATTTCTTCATTGTTGAAACATCACGTCTTTGTTGTTGTTTCTTTACAAATCTGACTCGGATGAAACGATCAGTTTTCTGATAAGCTACGAGGTAGTTATAATAAAGCACTATGAACATACATCGAAGCAAATGGTAAATGGAGTTGCGGCTAGAGAGTCTTCATCAGCACATTACATAAATCGATTAAAACACATGTTCAGACACGAATAAACAAAATCACATCGCTGACGTATCCCCCATAGCAGTCACGTTATTGACCGGCCACACACCTTTATAATAAAAGATTTGTAATAAAAGGGGGCGAGTCACTCACCTTCATGCCTCCGCCAAAAACAAGGTCAAAAAGAAGTAGCGCCCTTCTCACCTCGTTCATTATACTAAACTGGGTCGATTTGTGAGACTTTATATAAATATCTGACCTCTAGAGGTCAGCAAAGAAGAAGGAGGAGGAGGAGGAGTAGAAGAAGTAGAAAAAGAAGAAAAAAGAAGAAAAAAGAAGAAAAAGAAGAAAAAGAAGAAGAAGACTAAAGAAGAAGAAGAAGAAGAAGAAGAAGAAGAAGAAGAAGAAGAAGAAGAAGAAGAAGAAGAAGAAGAAGAAGAAGAAGAAGAAGAAAAAGAAGAAGAAGAAAACAGACGAACTAGAGAGGAGAAACAAGAAAATACAAATACAGCAGCAGCAGTAGTAGTAGTAGCACAGCAACACCGGCGGCTGCATCATCATCATCATTATCAGCATCAGTAGTAGTAGTAGTAGTAGTAAAAGAAGAAGAAGACGATGAGGAACAAGAAGTTGGAAAATGCAAGAGAAGTAGAAAAATAGAAAGACGTGAATAAGAAGGAGGAGGAGAAGTAGAAGTAGAAGAAAAAGAAAAAAGAAGAAGAAGAAGAAAAAGAAGAAGAAGAAGAAGAAGAAGAAGAAGAAGAAGAAGAAGAAGAAGAAGAAGAAGAAGAAGAAGAAGAAGAAGAAGAAGAAGAAGAAGAAGAAGAAGAAGAAGAAGAAGAAGACAAATAAGAAGAAGAAAAAGAAGAAGAAGAAAAAGAAGAAGAAAGAGACGAACAAGAGAGTTAGGAGAAACAAGAAAATACAAATACAGCAGCAGCAGCAGTAGTAGTAGTAGCACAGCAACACCGGCGGCTGCATCATCATCATCATTATCAGCAGCAGCATCAGTAGTAGTAGTAGTAGTAGTAGTAGTAGTAGTAGTAGTAGTAGTAGTAGTAGTAGTAGTAGTAGTAGTAGTAGTAGTAGTAGTAGTAGTAGTAGTAGTAAAAGAAGAAGAAGATGATGAGGAACAAGAAGTTGGAAAATGCAAGAGAAGTAGAAAAATAGAAAGACGTGAATAAGAAGGAGGAGGAGAAGTAGAAGAGGTAGAAGAAAAAGAGAAAGAAGAAGAAGAAGAAGAAGAAGAAGAAGAAGAAGAAGAAGAAGAAGAAGAAGAAGAAGAAGAAGAAGAAGAAGAAGAAGAAGAAGAAGAAGAAGAAGAAGAAGAAGAAGAAAAAAACAAAGAAGAAGAAGAAGAAGAAGAAGAAAGAGACGAACAAGAGAGTTAGGAGAAACAAGAAAATACAAATACAGCAGCAGTAGTAGTAGTAGCAGCACAGCAACACCGGCGGCTGCATCATTATCATCATTATCAGCAGCAGCATCAGTAGTAGTAGTAAAAGAAGAAGAAGATGGTGAGGAACAAGAAGTTGGAAAATGCAAGAGCAGTAGAATAATAGAAATACGTGAATAAGAAACAAGTAGAAAAATAGACAGAAGGAGAAGAAGAAGAAGAAGAAGAAGAAGAAGAAGAAGAAGAAGAAGAAGAAGAAGGACTGGATAGGAGGGGTGGTGGTGTCGATGATGATGACGATAATGAAAAGAAGATACATCATTCAAGTCCTGGATTTAGTTTAAATATGTATAGGTATGATATAGTGTATATATAAGATATAGTCACGGCTCTTGACGTATCTCCAAATCAAAATGTTATCTAAAAAAAAAAAAAAACCGATATCATCTGTCGACAGACGACGCAGGGTATAAACGCACTACTGTCATAAAAGAACATGAACATGTATAGTGAAAGCAATCACGATATACTTAGTCATACAGCAATTAATCTGACGATACGTATTTTATCTCTGCTTGAGATTCCATAGATAGTTAATGAAATGTCAAAGGTCTGGGGTATCACTGGGTTGTAACCTTGCTGCGGCTGCCTCAAGTACACTTAAGTCAAGTTTGTCAATGTTTTCATTTTTTGCTTAGCTGTCAATGTTCTGTCAGTCCCTGATCAGGCCTGACCTCAATGTCACGTTGACGTTTCGTGAGCCAAACCAAGGCTGCATGGTTATTTAGGTCGAGACCAAAAAAAATTTATATATACATATTTAAGCCCTATAGGTTGGATTATGTTGTTCAAAATTATTTTTAAAGACTGTTTAATGTACGTAAATTTATATTAATTTATTTAAAAAAAAATAAAAATAATATAGTTAACATGTAAATAATTTTATGAGTTGATGCTTTACCCAGTAACTTATGATGCCATTATTACTTACTCCACACATTAAGTATGGTGGTAAGAATACATAAATGTGATAATTATGAGATAAATTGATTAATGTATTTTAATCTACTGACATAAAATGGAAAAGGGGCGTACTTGTCTCGTGATGGGCTGTGTGAAAAACTACCTGTTGAAACAAAACGAACTAACCTGCCTATATTTGTTAAATTTCGTTTGCTAATAACGAAATCACAGCTTATATTACAAATATACTGGTTCTTATTAATTAATAAAAATAGTTTTTGTCAGTTATATTATTTAATATGTTTAAAACTGCAACATATGTTGCTGTTATTGAAATAGTGGAAACATAAATGTTTTAATTTACATTGGTGACTTTTAAACTAGGCGGAGTACCTGGCACATGGCCTTATCGAAGCAGAAGTGACAGACAAGAACGGGGAGTCTCGATGTTGTAGTTGTTGTTTTACCGCTTCAAACAGCTATTTTAGGTAGGAAAATGACAAGTTCAGGCCATCGTCTTCTTGAGGTACTTAGCGATTCGAACTTAACCGCAAAATTTCAGCAGTTCTGTGGAATTCGAAGCCATATTTTCAACACTAGTGCAAATGGAAGTCATCGACATGCCGGCGAAACAGACAGGTTATGTAGTCTTAACGGCGATAAATTAGTTGAAAGTACTGGCAGCCCAGACAGTAAGTTAGTCTCTGATAATGATAGTCTTCATCTGTATTCTTCAAACCACAACAATCATATTTCAAATGGATTATTGAAAGAGCGGGGTGTACATAGGAAAAATGGATACCGCAACGGATTCATCAAGACAGAAGTAGGTGATCAAGTCACAAACGACGAAATTGTAGAAGACATACCGCAGAAAAATGGTAAAAACAGTACACAGATTAGTAAAGGAAAGGCAGGTGAACACGATGAAAGACACGCCAGCATAGTCTGTACACAACCTTACACGCTAGACTGTCCAATTTTATACTACATTTTTTGTTTAGGAGCGGGACTTGGAAATGAGTTGTTTTACATTCTGTTTTTCTCGACTTCATTATGGAACTTCGATAGCTTGGTGATTAGGAAAGTTCTGTGCGTGTGGTGTGTAATTATGTACATGGGCCAGGCTGCCAAAGACATCATTCGATGGCCCCGTCCGAGGTCGCCACCTGTTGTACGACTGGAAGAACGTTATGAGCTGGAGTTTGGGATGCCGTCCACTCATGCCATGGTGGGCATCGCCATACCTTTTGGAGTGATCGTGTTCATGTCGGGACGCTATGAGGTATTGTCTGGAAATGTGCATATGTAAATGTTTTCGTGTTTCAGTGCATGCATTATCATTATTCTATTGTGCTATTTAACAATTTTGAGACAGAGCCTTATGTGGAGTTTCAATACAAAAAAAATAACGCCTTCAGATATATCTATTTATTAAAAAAAACAAATAATCAACATATACAAAATGGCTCTCCTTGCAATAACAGTCACTAGTTGGACGGCGACGGCCGCTTAGTCGGAGTTCAGTCCCCTGGCTGCAGTGCAATTACGGAGTGGAAAAGAGGCAATGACATAATTAGGGTTTGGGTTAGGGTTAGGCAAATGTGAGTCGCAGCGCGTGTCTAGACGCCTTGTTGAACTCACTGTGTTTTGTGATTCGTGCCTTGTCCACTCCGTAATTGCACTGCAGCCAGGGGACTGACCTCTGACTAAGCGACCGTCGCCGTCTATGTAGCGACTGTTATTGCAAGAACCACAAAATCATATGTATTCGTATAGGAAACTGAAATTGAAGGAACAGTCAGTCACAAATGATATTCATTTCTGAGTAATAGAGCTATCAATTGTTGACCTGTTTGAAAAACAATTTTTTGTAATTAACTTCCGATTTCATTTGTATGAAAAGACTTTCTCAGCCATGACGGTACATAAAAAAATGAAACAGGAAAATTGATTGTATGTTAGTGCTTTGTCTATCTGAAGGAACGCTTTAGTCACATATAGCAGATTTCTCAACCTGTAAGCCTTTAAACAGCAGCTGATGTGTGTCGCATTAGTCAAAAATTATTATTTTGTTGCATCGGATTTAGCAAATAAACTGCCATGTACTTTTGTTTCTGTGTATGATTTGCTGTCAGCTGGGCCACGAAATAGTTTCCCTTATTTTAGTGGTCTGCTGGTGTCAAAAGTTTAAAAATGTTGCTCTGTTCTGTTCTATCCAGTGTAACTGTTTTGATATCATGTATTTGGAAGCAATCAAGTCCACTCACTGTCCAGCAGCTTTGGTCTCTCTCCACATTCTTCATCATGTTAGGGTTTATCTGGGACATCCTGTGTTTCTCAATCCATAGTATCCCATTTCAGTGCCTGTGTAGTCATTGTTCATTTCTCAAGATGTTTCATGTGGGACAACTTCTTTGTCTTTCGTTGATACAAGTGTTTGTCCAGACATTTATCTTTTTTTTCCCCGTCATATAACACATGCAGGGTATATACAAATAATCGCAGTACTTAGTAGGGCTGTACCGAATATTCGCTTCGTTCTCGCTTTGGGGCCGAATAGTGGGCCTGATAACTATTCGGTATTCGGCCGAATAGTTGCGGTTGGGCCGAATATGAATAGTGCTTACCTTACTCCCGTTTCTGCATACACTGTAATGGACTGAAATAACTCTCTTATTAACACAATAGTTGCTGTTGCCTAAGTCTGTCATAGTGGGGGAAACTGCGACCTGGTTGCCTAGTACAAACTGCATAAAATGCCAACCGCAGTGTGTGTGAGAGAGTGTGTGTACTGTGTGTGAGAGAGAGAGGGAGAGAGAATGAGATGCATTTTTCGTTCTTTCAGGGTGTCTTCGCCCAAATCAAATTTGAAGATATTGCTAACGAGAATATGAAGGTGCGTTCAAATTATATCGAACGAACGGCCGAGCGAACGATGGTTTTGAAAGAGGCAGGAGCCTCTAATCAAAAACATCAGAAGGAAACAGTCGTCATTTTTCAGCCATGATATGAGAAGAGGGAAAATTGAACTTTTAGTGACCACAGGAAAGATCTGTGGAAGGAGGGATAGAGCAAGACAACGATAAAAGATTCTTGATAGTCTTGTTGCATATCATGGAGGTGTGTCAGCACACGAACTAATACTTGCTGCAGGAGAAAGCAGATTGTGGAGAGACATGATCACCCATGCCTGCCAACAAGGCACCTGATGATGATGATACACTATTCGTATTCGGCCGAATAGTTGGTCCCACTATTCATATTCGGCCGAATAGTGAAAATCACTATTCGGTACAGCCCTAGTACTAAGTACAGATCTGGCGTGATGCTGACCACACTGCCCACCAAGTGTCGATTGGTCTGTAAACATATAAGTCTAGCCCTATATTCCCAATACACCTAAAAGCGGGGAAAAGGTACAGAACTTTTATAGTACAATTCAACATCAGATATATTATTCACTGTCTGGTTTTCCATCCTCTATCAGATTCTGCCACTACACACTTTGCGCGGGCAACAGAGTTCGTGCACTGCGCTGACACCACACACTTTGTTTGTGCAAAAGAGTTCGTGCACTGCGCTGACACCACACTTTGTTTGTGCAACAGAGTTCGTGCACTGCGCTGACACTACACACTTTGCGTGTGCAAAAGAGTTCGTGCATTGCGCTGACACTACAAAATTTGTTTGTGCAACAGAGTTCGTGCACTGCGCTGACACCACACACTTTGCTTGTGCAACAGAGTTTGTGCACTGCGCTGACACCACACACTTTGCTTGTGCAACAGAGTTCGTGCACTGCGCTGACGCCACACACTTTGCTTGTGCAACAGAGTTCGTGCACTGCACTGACACCACACACTTTGTTTGTGCAACAGAGTTCGTGCACTGCGCTGACATTCTTTAGACTCAGACCTTGAGTTAGAAGAAGAAAGGAGCACTTGTGGGTTACACCCGTGTGCCGCAATGTTGATCCATAAATAAAAATAAACGGGATATCCTCAGAATAACGGGCACTAAAGATGGTGGCCGCAAAATATCCTTTTGAGCCGCGGTCAAGTGACATAATTTGCGGTTTTCCTGTGATTTTCCGGCAACCACCGCCACGAGCTGCAGGAGATGAGGAAGCTGCTGCTCGTGGGTCCTAGTCATCTAGTTTAGCCCCACTTCACGCCGCGTGGGGAACTCATGGCGGTAGTCGCCGGAAAACTGCAAATTAAGTCTCAGGGAGTGCACAGTTGACACGTGACTGCGGCTCAAAAGGATATTTTGCGGCCACCATCTTTAGTGCCCGTTTTTCGGAGGATAGCCCATAAACTTTTATTTTACAATCCTTTAATCTGTAAATTGTGTCCACCTTGTTCAATGTCCCATCCAACCAGTCTAGTTCATTGACTTATTTTTTGTATGTTTGATCAGACTATGATTGGAAAACATCTTGTTTCTCCCAGTAGACACTTGCATTTGTTTTAAACAAAGTCTGAAATTAGCTTCTATCAAGCTCTTTTCCTTCTTGGAGCCTTCTGTCATAACATTTATACGGAAGGGGGGGGGGGGGGTTGTAATCTGGTAATCTTAGTTTCAGCTTTGTAGCAAATGGGTCACGCCATAGTTGCTCCACTCCTTTGCCAACGAAAAACACACAGAATATTTATCACAGTCCCTTGGGAAAGATTGACAGACTGCTGTCTAAGCATATGCACTAGCATACACACGCATTAAAAGCATACAGTAGCCATCCGAAGTGCTAACACAAACAGTCCGACATTAGAAATGCAGTTTCTTATGGATGGTAGCAGAAGTTACCAAGAGATCAGCAGCTGCACACGCAATCAATTTTAATCACATAATGGCACCACCAATATTGCGACAACAGGCATCGTATCATATTCTGAACCTACAATTCACACTACCACGTTGGTCACAGTAGAAAAACATTCCAAAAGAAATTAGCTCACAGTGTCACCCCATGCACTCACCTCAAAAGCTGGGCGACAGAACTATCCTTTCAGTCTACAAATGGAGCAAAAATGCACCGGCCACCGTCTGACATAAGTGGGGGTGGGGGATGGGTTGGGGGCTAATGGCCTATATGAAAGCTATTATGCAGTCTTGTCTCCCCATGTACCATACATCCTCACTGATGCTGGAAAAGGCCAGATTGTTTATCTGTTAGCAGTTTATGTAGAGGCAGCACATGCTCAGCATTACATGGGGCCCAGTTGCAGTGACACATCTCTGTCTTTGAAAAACTGTGACAGATCTGAGTGAAGTCTATTCTACCCTGTCCATAGTCTGACACATTGTCCATGGAAGCTCTATCCTGCAACTAAGGTGTTTAGTTACCACTTATCGTTTTAATAATGGAAGTCTTGTAAACATGTTGGGAAACTTGACTAATTAGTTCTGTCAAAGTCAAGAGTGTGTCTATCTGAGCGGCAAGAAACAAAGTCTGTATATAAATAAGCGAGATCTGTAAAATGGATATGCATGCAAAACTCAAGTTCTGGAACAGAACCAAAGTCTAGTGAGAATCGGATGAATAATGTGAACTTTTCAGCAGAGTTTACAAGGAGTAGACCACGTGTAGAAAATATTGGGCACTTTCGGCCGATCGTCTGCATCATAATTATTAGTCGTTTCTTCTTCTACGTGTTCATTGGCTGTAAACTTCAACAGAAAGTTCTGGGTGTTCATTCACCTCCGGACTTTAGTCTTGTTCCAGAAGATGAGTGCACACCCATTTCACAGATTTGGCTTATTTGTATGCAGACTCTTGGTGCTTTGCCCCTCAGGTAGAGGTCCTCGGACTTCGAAGGATGTCTTCAGTTATTTAGCCCTATGCTTTTTTGGGGGGATGCATTGGGTCTGGTCTGATCTTCCTCATTGTAGGGCATTGAAACCAACAGGGAGGTAGTAAACAAAGCAGGAGACTCACTAAATACAAGGAACAGTCACACACTATCAGCTTAAGAGGGAGAATATTGCTGGTTCATATTGCTACAGTTGTTAATCTTCTAATACAAGTTGGTTCTTATCTCCACAGTTTAACTGTTGTTTAGGTGTTACCTGCGCTGTGATCTGGAGCCTGTTAGTCAGCTTAAGTCGTCTCTATCTGGGCATGCACAGTGTCCTGGTAAGTAGTGTTTAGATGGTAGTCGTTCATTTGACTCTGTTGCACACCATTTGTGGAAGATGGTCATTCTTTTTACTCTGTTGCACACCATTTGTGGAAGATGGTCATTCATTTGACTGTGTCATACAGCGTTGTAGGAGATTGTGTTTGAAATGTGGTCATTCATTTGACTCTGTTGCACACCATTTGTGGAAGATGGTCATTCATTTGACTGTGTCATACAGCGTTGTAGGAGATTGTGTTTGAAATGTGGTCATTCATTTGACTCTGTTGCACACCATTTGTGGAAGATGGTCATTCATTTGACTGTGTCATACAGCGTTGTAGGAGATTGTGTTTGAAATGTGGTCATTCATTTGACTCTGTTGCACACCATTTGTGGAAGATGGTCATTCATTTGACTGTGTCATACAGCGTTGTAGGAGATTGTGTTTGAAATGTGGTCGTTCATTTGACTCTGTTGCACACCATTTGTGGAAGATGGTCATTCATTTGACTGTGTCATACAGCGTTGTAGGAGATTGTGTTTGAAATGTGGTCATTCATTTGACTCTGTTGCACACCATTTGTGGAAGATGGTCATTCATTTGACTGTGTCATACAGCGTTGTAGGAGATTGTGTTTGAAATGTGGTCATTCATTTGACTCTGTTGCACACCATTTGTGGAAGATGGTCATTCATTTGACTGTGTCATACAGCGTTGTAGGAGATTGTGTTTGAAATGTGGTCATTCATTTGACTCTGTTGCACACCATTTGTGGAAGATGGTCATTCATTTGACTGTGTCATACAGTGTTGTAGGAGATTGTGTTTGATATGTGGTCATTCATTTGGCTCATCACAAAGCACTGAGGGAGACTGGCATTAACTTCACATATCTTTTGCAGTGCATGATTGACTATGGTGGTGTGAGCTGGATATGGGCAAGAACGGTGGTATTTTGTTTGGGAACATGGAGATCAGATCCCATATGCATTAGCGCTGGCCTTTCCCAGAGATCACCATTGTCACCTCTCTTGTTTAACATATATACAGCAAGTTTGTCAAAAAATACAGCCTGCTGGACCAGGGCAAACTTTGACATTTGCAAATGATGTCCTAATGTATTGAAGTGGGTCAGACAGGCACATGACAAGAGACTTGCAAAGTGCTTTGCTTGAGACAGTTTATGGGGTAACCCAGAGAAAGCGAGTGTTTTGTGGTGCTCCTTAAAAAAACAGCACTGGAAAGAAAGACCTGCCCAGCATATCTATGAAGCGTATAAATGTTGAAAGAAGAAATGAGTTGAAATACTTGGGTTTGACATTTGATCACAGTCTGTCCTACATATATCACATGGAGCAGACTGTGATTAAATGCAAGCGTGGCTTAGCAGCACTGAAGACGGTGGTGGCGACAGACATGGAACAGAGATTGTTGGTCTTATTGTTCAACTTTGTGGTCCTTTCAGTAATTGATTATGGCCTAGGAATATTAACCCTATCACCTTCACAGATGTAAATTTTTAAATTAAAAAACAAAAACAAAGATGTAAGTGGATTGACCTCGTCCTCAGATTGAAGAAAGACAGACGACCGAGACATGCATTGCAATAGACACCACAAGGACAGTGAGAAAGAGGCAGGGCCAGAGGAACTTGTAGGCAAAGTTTTTAGGCTGAACTCAAGGCTACACAAAATACAAAACTGGAGATATAGAGGATGGCTCAGGATCGAATTGAGTGGCAACAGTTTGTCGCTGTCTTATGTGCCTCTGGGCGCGAAGAGGATTGATTGGTTGACTTAACAGTGTACAAAAGTTATAAGGATTCAAAACAAGGGAATGAGAATCATCTTTGGTTGCACATGAGATAACACCAATTAGAACAATGGGGTATATGTTTGGGCTGACATCGCTTAAGTCGACACTGACACAAGCCAAGGCCTATATTCGAGTTAACAATGACAAAAGGCATCAGTTGCATTTCAGTCTGAAAGATGTAAGAAGTGACCAGTTGTAAATATGAAAGTCGTGGATGGGGCTAGCTGAAGATATCATCAAAACGGCGGCCTCAGTCAAGCAAATACACAGAATGTAAAGAGTGGTGCAACTTTATGACAGAATTAAAGGTTTAAACAACAACTGATAGATAACAAGAATGGGCTAGATGATGCAGTAGTTTACATTGATGGTCCTGTTCATTGGCTGTAAGATCTGGCTGGGGATTTTCAGCTAGAATGAAAGTAAAGATTGTGGCAGAACAAAATGGAGCTTTTTTATTTACAACTTCTAGCAATGAGGATGGAAGTGGAGGCAATAGCAGAAGGTGTATAGCAGAAAACAAGGTTACCAGAGGAATTATTGTGTTGGATTCTGAGTCGGTACTGCGGAAGATTCAAAAGGAACTTATGTAGCTTGAGTGGATGCCAACATTGCAGGGAATCACTTGGATATACTGTGTGGGACATGCAGGAGTGTGACATGGTGAATTGTCTGGCTGCAAAAGCTACGGGAACACTTGTGCTGGACAAGGGAGATATTCTGAAGACCATATGTGAAAGAATGTTAACAGAAGACATGAGATTTGATGAAATAATAGGTGCAGAAATGTGTGAACAAGGAATTAAGTGGATCTGGCAAGGAGGGACGAATGAGAGGAAGAGAACGATGTGTGGATAATCAGTGTGCTACAGGAACAGTTAGCATCTACACCTGAAGAAATTAGCTGTGGGAGACGGAGCACCTGTGGGTATGCCCTGTGTGCTGTGATGTTGATTCTTAAATCAGTAATTGAAGGAGACTGTTTAGAGTGTGGTCATTCATTTTACTCCACCACACAGGATCGTATTTAGAGGATGGTCATTCATTTTACTCTCCCACACAGGATCGTATTTAGAGGGTGGTCATTCATTTTACTCTCCCACACAGGATCGTATTTAGAGGATGGTCATTCATTTTACTCTCCCACACAGGATCGTATTTAGAGGGTGGTCATTCATTTTACTCTCCCACACAGGATCGTATTTAGAGGATGGTCATTCATTTTACTCTCCCACACAGGATCGTATTTAGAGGGTGGTCATTCATTTTACTCTCTCACACTGGATCGTATTTAGAGGATGGTCATTCATTTTACTCTCACACACAGGATCGTATTTAGAGGGTGGTCATTCATTTTACTCTCCCACACAGGATCGTATTTAGAGGGTGGTCATTCATTTTACTCTCTCACACTGGATCGTATTTAGAGGATGGTCATTCATTTTACTCTCACACACAGGATCGTATTTAGAGGGTGGTCATTCATTTTACTCTCTCACACTGGATCGTATTTAGAGGGTGGTCATTCATTTTACTCTCTCACACTGGATCGTATTTAGAGGGTGGTCATTCATTTTACTCTCTCACACTGGATCGTATTTAGAGGATGGTCATTCATTTTACTCTCACACACAGGATCGTATTTAGAGTGTGGTCATTCATTTTACTCTCTCACACTGGATCGTATTTAGAGGATGGTCATTCATTTTACTCTCACACACAGGATCGTATTTAGAAGGTGGTCATTCATTTTACTCTCTCACACAGGATCGTATTTAGAGGATGGTCATTCATTTTACTCTCCCACACAGGATCGTATTTAAAGGATGGTCATTCATTTTACTCTCCCACACAGGATCGTATTTAGAGGATGGTCATTCATTTTACTCTCCCACACAGGATCGTATTTAGAGGATGGTCATTCATTTTACTCTCCCACACAGGATCGTATTTAGAGGATGGTCATTCATTTTACTCTCACACTGGATCGTATTTAGAGGATGGTCATTCATTTTACTCTCACACTGGATCGTATTTAGAGGATGGTCATTCATTTTACTCTGTCACACACCATTGAAGGAGATTGTGTACCCAGATATTTTGTAACTGATGGGGGGGGGGGGGGGGCAGTTATGGCGAAATAGCATTCTGTTAATCTGCCTGATGTCTGCGACAGTTTTCTTTGTGGATCCTGTCGACAGTTTCCTCATGACCCACCCCTGGGCGCTGCCAGTGACAGTCGTCCTGTGCATTATCCTCAGCATGCTGTATCCTTCGTTAGAAAAATGGAGCACAGCCCGCGGCGACACCACAATGGTTCTGGGCGTCTTCTCTGGCATCTATGCAGGCATGTGGCTTACGGCAAAATTAACGGAGTTTGATTATGTACCAGACTCCCCTCCCTACGTGCTGGAACTTCCGTCGGTCAAGGATTTTAGCCTGGGAGTTACACGCCAGATTTCAGGGCTCTTTATTATTATAATTTTTCTCACTTTGATCAAACTGGTGATTCTTCACAGTTTAAGTTGGCTGTTTGGGTACGACCCCAAAGACCCGAGAACCAAGCAGTGCCGACCAGTGGAACTGCCGTACAAGTACGTCTCGTATTACGTCTCAGCTGCAGCCACCACCTACATCATTCCTCTTCTATTCTTGAAGCTAAATATAGAACGGCCAAGTTACTATTCCGAGGTTTTCAGCCTGTAGTGTCACCTGACCTAACACATTCATACCTGGCACACCTGTTGAAAACCTGTACACTGCACTAGTACACGCTATTATAATCATCATCCTTTTGTGCCACTATGTTTCACATGGGACTCACAGTCTACAAATTGTACATGAGATCAAAAAATAATGTACACAATTTTGATTACCAATACTAAAGGACTCAACAGTCTACAAGTTGTACATGAGATCAAAAATAGTGTACACACAATTTTGATTACCAATACTATTCATGTAATTTTCTTAGAAGAGTGGTTGGCTGAGCGGTTACATCGTCAGGCTATCATGCGGGAGACCTGGTTCGACCCCTGGTAAGATGATGGAGTTTTTCTGTTTTGTCAGGGCAAAAAATAAACATCACAACCTTCACAGTCCGTGGTGACAGCACTAGCCATGCAGTCCTAACTCCTCAGTCTCCCAACCCCCTGTGTATGCCGCCCTAACTCCTCAGTCTCCCAACCCCCTGTCTATGCCGCCCTAACTCCTCAGTCTCCCAACCCCCTGTCTATGCCCCCCTAACTCCTCAGTCTCCCAACCCCCTGTCTATGCCCCCCTAACTCCTCAGTCTCCCAACCCCCTGTCTATGCCCCCCTAACTCCTGTCTCCCAACCCCCTGTCTATGCCCCCCTAAATCCTCAGTCTCCCAACCCCCTGTCTATGCCCCCCTAAATCCTCAGTCTCCCAACCCCCTGTCTATGCCCCCCTAAAAAACATGTACTGTCATTGTAATCTTTACTGTCATTTGATTAACCAGATCAAAATTAGTTGATCTATGAAATAAAAATCATTTGACTTATAAATATATCAGTTGACCAATTCCAAAACTGTTTTTAAACACCAAATATTAGTTTAAAAAATACTAACAGACCTGACAAATGACAGGTTGAGTGATAACATCTACCAATACTGCAAGTAATGACTATTTCTGCGGTGTGAGCATGATGGGGATTTAAGGCAGCATGGCTAGAGCTGTCGCCATGACCTCACAGATGTCAGGTTGGAGTGTACAGGTTGTCAGTCTGTGTGCTAACACTTGCCCATCCTCAGCCTTTCATTGCATTGTTCTGATGCATGTTTTTTGATCAGCAGTATTGCAAGTGTTTTTTTTTTTTTAAACAGAATGAAAGAAGTTTAAATGTTCACTTTTGAATGAGATTTACATATTTGGATATATTTATAGTTACTGTTTTTATAAATATATATATAATTGAATTAATATGTATGATCAGTTAACATCACAAATATATGATACGCATGTTTCAGCATGTCTGTGGTATTAAGGGAATGTTGTTATTGTATGCGGTGAGCAGCTAGGGCGAGAAATACATTTTAACTCTTTGAGTCCCAAGAAACGCATCATACGTTCATAGTTTCCTACCTGGAGGCCCAATGAACGCATGATGCGCCGATTTAACGTCTCGTTTGACTACCCCTTGGGCCTCTGATGATAAACCCCCTGGGACTCAAAAAAGTTAAGGCAACAGAATTGTATTGTCATACCCATGAGGACAGCAGAGTAAGACACTGTAACAGTTCAGTAAATAAGAGACTTCTGCAGCAGTTCCAGCTATTGTGACACATTCAAAACATCTAATGGATGATGATGTGTAGAGATGTAGAATGCTAAAAAACATGTCTGATAGATGATGCCTTCTAGAGATTAGAATCAGAATTGCTTCAGCATAAGCAGCCTTTAGGCAGAACAATTGTTGAAATGTTCAGCACCTATACTGTACTATGCTTGTGAAATATGGACAGTGACACAGGCAGATGCATTTATGACACAAGAAATATAGTTTCTGAGAGAAAATAAAATAGTGTCGTGATTGGGGACCCCCTCCCACACACACCCACACACCCACAAGAGAGAAAGTCCCTCAAGAAGCGGGTGATAACCCTACACTTTTGAAACTTGTCCCCTTGCGAATGCTAAATTTATGAACCTCTGGAAATATCCATTTAAAAGGCCCTTTAAAGGAACAACTATTATACACTTTAACTAATCAGTTATTTATCTTTGCATTTTTATTTCTAAATAATTAAAAGTATTGTGTTCAAAATGCTAAATTCACGAACCTCTGGAAATAACCCTTTAAAAAGCCCTTTAAAGGGACAACTATTATACACTTTAACTAATCAGTTATCTTTGCATTTTTATTTCTGAATAATTAAAAGTATTGTGTTCAAAATGCTAAATTCATGAACCTGTGGAAATAACCCTTTAAAAAGCCCTTTAAAGAGACAACTATAACTAATCAGTTATTTATCTTTGCATTTTTATTTCTGAATAATTAAAAGTATTGTGTTCAAAATCACTTTAGTATGTAAGTATGCAAAAGGTCAGGATGTGAAAGTGCACATTAACATTCATGATATGGTTGACAGGATGTCGATGCTTGGGCCACCTAAGGTTTGTGAAACAAAAATATCTGGATGATTTGGACACATAACTTATTCAGGACAAGAGCACAGACTGGATCTGGGACTGGTGATCGTAAGAGATTGCCTACACTTCCCGTCATGGCTAAAGATATTGAGCAGATAATAGTGTTCCGTTGTGCTTTATGGAGTATTGGACATCACAGACCGCACCCTTACAAATGAAGGTCAGCATAATCCAGAGCTGGAGCAGAGACCAGATGTTTGTTGCCCATGCAGTACGATCCCTCCCTTGGCCAGCTAGCTCCAAAGGGCAGGTGATGTACACTTAGAACACAGCATGCTGCAGAAGCTGTTGGATCAGTAGAGCACTGCTGTGTCCGTCTGCATTACAGAGCTTCCATCCTAACTGCCAACCGAGGCTAAGGGTAATTGATTTATTGATTGTGGTTACCTCATTACCTAGTCATGACAATCATAATTATTTATACTGCATAATAATTATGAAACTGCTGTACTTTGATGATTGTTGCAGCTTTCTTTCAGTCATAATTTTTTTGGGGGCGAGGGGGGGTACTAATCATTAGAGTCACCCCATCTCGTTTGTGCATGAGATTTTCTGTCGGCTTCCATTCATGTCATGCCAGTTCCCACAGGCAGTCTTTTGTTGTGGGGGCATTACGACGCAGCTTGTTTCACCGTATGTGCACACCATTTCGAACAACCGCTGTCAAGTTTTGTTTTCGCAACTCTGTTTTCTGTGAACGGTAGGTCTCAGGCGCCAAAAATGTGTGCGCACAAGGAAGAAGTACTATGGGGGGGGGGGGGGGGGGGCTGAAGGCACGGCACTTTGTGAGTATTGAATCATTATTTGTTGAATTATACGCTTGTTGGCTTTGGCTGTCATCGATGGTGGATCTGTTTAAAACGGTCACAACAAGGAACACATGACCCCTAGACTATAGGAGTATCCTGGGAAATCACGCTGCCGACGAGATGGGGTGACTGTCTTGATTATACCTTCTTTTTTTTTTAAACCTCGAACTGCAACACTTTGGTGGCCAAATAAATGGCACAAACGATAGACGATACAATTTTCTGCTTGGCATATTCTTTTATATCTTGTCAAGAGCATTGTACAGTGAATAGCGTTGAAAAAAAAAAAAGGAAAATGCAGTTTTCCTGTGGCATTTAAAAAAAAAATCAGTTAACATAAAAGCTTGTACACCTGAACACTATCTGTGGTCCAGATGTAGAAGAACTGTCAATAGACATTTTGAACCCAAGGTGTTTTTGTGTGTAATTTGTTGTTTCACTCATTAAATTATACAGATTTTGAATGACAAAAAGTATGTTTCTTTCAATAGCTATGCGGGTTTTGTCTTTGTTTTGTTTTTGAGTAGTATACTTTTTTGTCCAACTTTGCTGGTTGTTGTGGCTGTTGTATTGTGTTCTGACATCAAACTGCCACACTGTAGTGGTGGTTATTGGTTGTTTCCCTATTTCAAATTGACCACATGCTCTGTCTATTTTCATTGCTACAGCTTCAGCTAGTCTCAGTAGTTAAACTCTTTATTCTGTGTTCTTACATTAAACTATGAGACTCTGATAGTGGTTACCGCTGGTTTATTGTGTGTGTTCTCTCTGCCATGAGCATTTTGTTTTGCATTTATATTCTATAATACATTGTCATGGATATAGCATTAATCAAGACTTTTTTGTTTGTTTGTTTGGTGTGAACAGTTGTGAGGCTACCAGACTTTGGTGGTTTTTAGGGCTGTTATACTCTTTGTGTGTTCTCTGCTTTCTGAGTTGTGTTGAATCAAGTACCAACATCCTAGCACTCGGGGCATTCCCATAGTTTCTCTGTCCCCCTATCTTCAGCAGTCAGCGCAGAGCTCCATTACCAATGCTGCCAGTGATTGTTTGATTATATGACCGTCTTGCCTTTCTTCTGAGCGTCGAGTATTGGCCAGATTCTCGTTGCATCACTCTCACGAGACTGATGATTAATATGCTGTTTTGAATTGTACACATGCTTCCATAAGGTCTGAACCACATCTGCCTTATTATGCATCAGTATTCTACCAAGCTGTGCACAGCCAGTCTGTCCGTCTGTTCATTTCCCAATACACTGGCATACCCAGAAGAAAAGGTCCTGACAATGCTCTTCACCCGTGACCTTTGAAGCGAAACATGTCACTCTGCATGAAGCACGCCAGTCCTCACCTTCCTCAGCATGCATTCTGTGTCTGTTACAGTCACGATGTATCTGTGCCTCATATACTCTAGATCGCAGTGGATGTTGTGGCATCATAAGCTAGGCTCTCCTGCACCAAATGTCGACCATTGGTTTTTGTCAAAAACTGTCAGGCACTTCTTTAGCCTCACGACATGAAACCATCTGAATAAATAATCGCTTTATCCTGAATTAGTTGCTAAATGTCCACCTCCGTGGCATCTGTTGGCCACTGCCTGAACTCCCGGCTAAATGTGCTTTTGACTCTATGCCAGTCTGACTGTTCAGCTGGCACTTTGACCCACTCCTCTTCTCGCCTGATGTTCTCCAGGATGCAAACCTGTCTGATCTTGCCACCCAT